TCTCTTTGTTTTGTGGCATTACTTGGTCCTGTGTCAGTGGCCCCACTGAATGAAATGAACCGGTTGGCTTGTTTGCTCACTGGGTGAGTGGCTTCATGGTGGACAGGCGGACTGCCTGCTTGACTTGCTGCGAGGCAAACAACTGTGGTTCTAAAAATCGTAGCTAATCTGTCCTTTGTCATCTTTCTTCTTCCTTCACTCAAAGGAACGTCTGAGCCATGATCTTGGAAATTATTGGACCCAAGCTTTGCCTTTTGAAATACTTGGTGATTTTATTTAATTTTTTTAATACTCAGCATCAATTATTAGGGCTGACACTATTTATAAAACACACTATTATACTTTTGGCCCACTTTTCTGAGTCCGGTTTGAACAGGGCCATAGAAACTGAGATAAAAATAACATGTCTGATCTACATCATCATTTATTTTTGAATCCAAAAAGAGAAGAGGGAGGAAAAAGGAGGAGACTGTGTGTGTGTGTGCGTGCGTGCGTGTGCGTGCGTGCGTGCGTGTGTGTGTGTGTGTGTGTGTGTGTGTGTGTGTGTGTGTGTGTGTGTGTGTGTGTGTGTGTGTGTGTGTGTGTGTGTGTGTGTGCTACCTCATTATGCAGCCTAAATGTCAGTGGATTGCTTTTCAGACAGCAGTGGACTTCCTATTTCAGCCCTGTAGTCCTGTGCTCCCTTGCAGACCTGCACAGGTTTGGGCGCTATGAGCTCCACCGAAAACTCGAGAATATCTTCAACAGTGCCATTAAAAATTCTGTTGATGTCGTATCAAATTACGTGAAATGTAAAATAGAAAAAAAAAATGCTCATCTCAGCAGGCATGCTTTTTTCTGCCCAACACCGGCCCTGAGTTGCAACATAAGCAAAACTGCCTGAAGTCCTAATTGAATATAATTCAAATGAAAACTTTTCACATTTTCTCACGGTTCTGTGTCTCCTGTTAGTTGCCAGCAGTCAGAGCCCGATCAGGTGGCCTTAAGCTTGGTTTATGCTTGACGCATTTACTTTCCGCTTGGTGATGCGGCTCGCGGATGGAACACGCTTCAAAATTTGTAGCGTTCAAGGTTCATGCGGCTTGTCTCTGCGTTGAGCCAATATTCTCCCAAACTGTAGGGGGCAGCATGGAGCTCTACAGCATGCATCCAACACTACACCATAGTAGAAGTAGAAATTACTGTTGTTTACAACAGTTGTTAATGGAAGTTGAGAGCCAGCTCAGCTCTTTTAGAATTGGTGGAGTGTTCTTGTTTCCACCAGGATCACCGCTTTTGCGTTTGTTCCCCTTCCTTGCCTTCACATATTGGTCCCTCAAGTTTTTCCAGCATTTTTTAACAGCGTCCTCGTCTTTTCCGACAGTGCGAGCTATTTCTCTCCCAAGAATTATTAACAACATGTTGATCAAACTGATCTTTGAGAGCTGAATCATACAAATGTCTGTATTTACGAACTCTGCCATAAGCTTGGTTTATGCTTGACGTGTCCGCGAGGTTCGCACGGCTCCGCGCGGCAAAATTGCGTCATTTTAACAACCACGCCCCTCCACTGTGCCCCCGCACGACCCAAACTTTCCGCACCGCGCACCTAGGAAATTTTCTAACCACACGGACGGTCGGATGCGGAAAAACATGGCGGACTGGCAAGAACTAGTATGGCAGAGGTTCGTAAATACAGACATTTGTATGATTCAGCTCTCAAAGATCACCGTGATCAACATGTTAATAATTCTTGGAGAGAAATAGCTCGCACTGTCGGAAAAGACGAGGACGCTGTTAAAAAATGCTGGAATGCCATGTTGTAAACAACAGTAATTTCTACTTCTACTATGGTGTAGTGTTGGATGCATGCTGTAGAGCTCCATGCTGCCCCCTACAGTTTGGGAGAATATTGGCTCACTGCAGAGACAAGCCGCATGAACCAGAAACGCTGCGAGTTGTGAAGCGCGTTCCATCCGCGAGCCGCATCACCAAGCGGAAAGAAAATGCATCAAGCATAAACCAAGCTTTAGATGCCATTTATATCCCTGATGATGAGCCCTCATTGTTGTTTGACTAAATCAACATATATTTGAGAGTTGTCATTTTCTTCTTTCATCTTAAATGGTTGAAATGTGTATAAATTGTATGATGATACAAATAAGTTCCCTGAGGCCTGTTTCAATTGTTTGAGTTGTTTTTCTGCTCAAACACTTCTGATTCAATTGCTGAATTAATCATTCATTCTGTCCTCAAGTTCTGTGGAAATTAGTTCAATAATTTTCAGTTCACAACAGGAGTACCGGAGCATGGAAACATCTAAAACATGCCCTCTGGGTTAGAGCATTCAGATGAACACTATCTGACATGGTCCAGAATGAGATGACCAATCAGAAAGAAACACTTTTGTCATGAGGAATGATGACAGTAACTTTAATAGTTAAGATAAAACCCTCACATCCAGAATTTAACCAATAATTTATGGTAACTAAAATCTTACTTTATATATTTTACGTCCTAAATTCACAGAAATTAAGAAATCATTTAAAATTTAGACTGGCAGAGCAAAGAGAGAAAAGGAATGACAGCAAAGTGTGTGCGCGTGTGTGTGTGTGTGTGTGTGTGTGTGTGTGTGTGTGTGTGTGTGTGTGTGTGTGTGTGTGTGTGTGTGTGTGTGTGTGTGTGTGTGTGTGTGTGTGTGTGTGTGTGTGTCTGGAGCTTCTCAGGGGTACAAGGGCTTTCTCTGGAGTGTTGTACTTGATTTGAAAATTGCCTTTGCGAACATATATAAACATGTGTGTGTGTGTGTGTGTGTGTGTGTGTGTGTGTGTGTGTGTGTGTGTGTGTGTGTGTGTGTGTGTGTGTGTGTGTGTGTGTGTGTGTGTGTGTGTGTGCATTGCAAATAAGGAGGAAGCATCTTTCGTTGTAGAAAAATCTTCTCTGAGCATCGGTGCTACATTTGCTAACAGACAGGTGGTGTGTGCCTATGTGTATGTGGTGTGTCAGGTGGTCACGTGCTCTGGTGTAGCATTACCAGTTCTGCAGCCCCTGAGCTGCAGCAGCAGATAAGAAGACACGTGAGGTTGGTTGAGAGCAACCCTGTGTGATCTGCTTTAATTTTCAAATGGATTCTAGGGGGAAATAAGACATTGTGCAAGTTTGCAAGTACAGAAATGATGGTAGCTCTGATGCAATTTAAATATTAGTTTGTGCTGTTCCCTTGGGTAACTATCCTCCTACAGCAATAAACAACACAGCACAAATAATTATTTGCATTTACAGTTTCTGACCCAAGACCGGTTCCTCTGTAAATCTGAGTCAGCCACAACAGCAGCTGATAATGAGCGGTTTCTTTTCCACCTGCCTGTGCTGAAGCTTCCTGTCTTGATATGTATGCAGTTCTGTGGGGTGGAGATGACAATGTAGGTGTGGAGGAAGTCAAATGCAGGTGTGTGTGTGTTATCCCAGGTGGGTGCTGACAGACTGGCAGGTAAACAGGCAGGTTGGTCTCTGATCTTACCTGTTGGAGCAGACACAGCAGCGCTTGCAGGCCTTCCACAAACGTGTCCTCTGTAGGATGCTAGAGGACCGGCTAGCTCTGCTGTCTTTCCTTTTGCTTTTTCTCTCCTCTGTTGTTCATTTGTCCAGCTCTCCAATCCCAGGTGCGCTCAGGGGAACACCCAGGAAACGGGCATGTGGAAATGAGGGAGTGCGAGTTGGGGTGGAGTGGGGGTGAGCGGGGGAGGTAAAGCGCCTGGAGTGAACAGAAGCGCAGGTGGGCTTGGGGGTGGGAGGTGACGACAGCGTGTGTTTATGTGGGACAGGAAGAATTTGTGTGGAAGGTGGTGCTTTGGAAAGAAAGGAATGCCACACATCCAGACTACAGCGGACCACCCTTATAAAGTCTGAGGAAGTCGGACACACACACACACACACACACACACACACACACACACAGCTGTGGAGCTCTGATGTGAGGTGACCAGGTGAGCGGTTTGAGTCTCATGTTACAGCATCCAGAGGAAATCTGGATGAGCTCCTCTTTCTCATGTAATGTTTTCTGTTTCCGGTCACACGCTTTAATTCGGCCTTAAGGGGTGAGCAGCTTTTTCAGCCACAGGAAGGTTGACCTGGAGAGGAAGCTACAAGTCATAGAAAATGTTCACCAGACCCTCTTAAGGGATAAAATTGAATATCTGACAGTTTTGAAGCACTTTATGCTTTACTCCAAACAAACTAGAGTTTTGTGTAAATGTTTTAATGGATCTGGATCAATAATTGTAGTTTTGTTTGGACTGTAGTTGATGTTTCACTCAGTTTGTGTTCAGACCTTGAACACGGCGGTGGATGTTTTTAAAATATATAAAATACAAGTTAAAAGAAGTGTCAGAGCTAAAAACAACTGTTCTGCAATGGATAACCCATAATTTATCAAGCACAGAGTCATAAAAATCAAAGTTTTCATCATTTTGGTGTTTTTTCATTCTAGTTTTGTGCAGCAAAATCGTATCTTCTGCCATAAATTAGAAACATAAATGATGTTTTTCTGATAAGCTGCCTAGACATTTTTGCCTATAATAAGTTATTTGCTACATTTTCTCTTTTAATTCATCGTTTGAGTTAAGAAGCTCTTTTCTGCCTGAGTGACCGAAGTTAGAGTTGAATCACTCAGCAAACAGAAAATAACATTCCTCTGGAGGAAGCCACAAACTGGACTGAAAATGAGCGTTGTCTAAAAACCACATAAAATATTATAAGTACGGCTACTTGGAAGCATAACTGTGGAAGAATTATGCACATTTTTATGTCTGCAAATGCAGCAATTTGAGTAATAAAAAAATGAAATTAAAACATTTTGCACAATATTCCATTTTTGCAATGAATATAAAGATTTTGTTTGACATCCAAAGTCATTTCTTCTGATGTTTCGCTAGTCTTTTTTGTTTTTTTCTTCTAATGCAATGAGAATATGTTGTTGACGACCAACAAACCAGAAAAAAATAACAACACAACAGCCAAAGTATATTTAACAATATATATTTCCATTGTCAATGTACATTCCATTTCAACATAAGCTTTTCTCACAAACAAAAAGTTGGCATCTAAATAAATACTATATAAAATAGAACTTCAAAATAAATATATCTATAAAGGGAACCTTTTATATGAGTTTTTTTTTTCTTTTTGTAATATTTAAACAAACTAACAAAAAAAAAAGCACGGATCTTGTTTCTTAATCCCCAACATTGATGTTGCAAAGGTTTAAAGGAATGGACTTTTTCTGTTCCTTTGATTTCAAAATAAAATACTCAGATGGGCGTGGGTGTGTGAAAAAGTCACAGCAGCTGCAGAAACCAAAGATTCAAATCCAGATTTTTTTTATTTCTCTTTGTGTTTTTTTCCACACCAAGAACATGTTGTAATAAATAAGAACCTTAATTTTGCAAAGACTGAAAAAAAAAGTGGATAGAGGTGGTGCTAAACGCAACTTCAGAGGAAAATGAAGAGGGGGTACAGCGAGTGTGTCTCCTGTTTCTGTAGCATGACGAGTTTATGAACGGCAGCTGTGTTTGTCAATCAAGGCAGGCTAATGGTGTTTGTTGGCCTTTCTTTCTTAGGGAGGAAGGAGGGAACTGAGGGAAAGCAAGAAGGAGAAAAGGAGCTGTGACACTGAGCAGTAACGGCAGGAAATGGGTTGATGGGAGTAGACTGTGTTCCTTGTGCGGATTCAATGAGTCCACGGTCTTTAGGAGCCGGAGAGGGAGTTAGCTTAGCCTCTCGACTGCTAATGAGCCATGGATAGCAAAAGCAGCAGGAGATTTTTTTTTTTATTTTTGTTCATCTTCTATTTTAGGAACACTTTTCTAAGTCAAGTGCGAGTGATAGAAAGACCTGTCGGCTAATTAATTCACTTTTGTTTGTTTTTTTCGTAAACTCTCCCTTTCTGTTCCTCACATACCACAAAAACACCTTAATCTTACCCTCAAAATATAAATCTAATATATTCTCTATATACTTTTGTACTTAATTGTAGTTATAATGTACCATGCAATCTTTCGAGGACATTTAAAAGTCTCTTCTAAAGGAACACAAACTTTGTGAAACTATTTACAGCAAATAACATTTCACCTGCATAGCTCTATTACTAAATACATCGTCCAAACGTCTGATTTTTTATGTTTGCTGGACACCTGCACCTGGCTAAGCCTCTCTCACACATTCCGTTTTGGCACCTTTCTCTCTGACTTGAAATATTGCCTCATACATTCGTACTAAAGAACCATGTTTTTTTTTATTCTTTCGTCTTTCCGTTTTACGAGTGACATCAGCTTTGTGCAACAAGACAAATGCAAGTATGAGCAAAGATGGGCACCCGAGTGGAAGATAAAAAGAGAGGTTAAGTGTTATGGAGCAACAGAGCCAAAAAGCCCATCAGCATTAAAGGGCTGCACACTTTTTAACTGTCATCAACTCCATTTAGCAACTGTGATCACTCAGACTGTGAAAACATGCTACTGTACAACAGCTTCCTTTGGCAACGTCCTACGAATGTCATGCGAGCCCCCAAAATAGACTAAACGAGAGACTGAGTTATGCAACTATGCAGCCTAGTGATGTAGGTTTCATGAAGACACTAATGTGCGTAGAGGTGAGCTGTGGGCTAAATGTGGCATTGACCGTCAAAATACAGGCGAGCTGAGGTGGTTAGTACTGTGCTTTACTTTCGGACAACGGTTGTGCAAGTGGCAGGTTTGATTTACACAAAGACTGATGGTTTTAAACTTTTGCAATGCCTCTTTGCTTCCCATCACCTGCATCACTTAAAAAAAACTTAAAAGAGAATATTCTGGCCCCTTCTCCCTCTGCGTACTAAATTATTCAATATTGCCTTTTTGCCCCTAAACGATTCTTTGCCTTTCTGTGCAAAGAGGAAGTAGACCAGGCTCTTAGACGGTTTAGAAAATAACATGCGGTTGGCCAAGTTCTAGAGGAGATTACTGTAACAATCCCTGAGAAGGCTGGGTGGAATTTCTTCCTTACCTATTTTAAGTATTTTTCTTATATATTTTTTTTCTATTTGACACGTCTCTACTACAAATCCACCCCAGCACGGTGGGTAACCATTGTACTAGAGCATGCAGATCGTGACATGCATTATGTCTGAGGTGATCAGTGAACAGCATTCAAAGTATTTCAGAATGTCTAAGCTTTACCACCCAAAAAATAGAAAACACACTGTGAGGTGATTATCTCTCACTTGCAGCACAACTGCACAATACAGAGTGAAAATGATGAAAATTTACTGTTCATTTTAAATCATAGAAAGGGTGTATTTTTACAGCATCTCCGTGGGGGTATACCGGAGGATGGGGATCATCGTTGTACTGAGGGAGGAAGTGGTTTCTTCCATCGTAAAGCTACATTATTTTCTAGTTAACTACGTAGTTTTTCATTTTGCACTAGACTGTGCATTTTTCAGGGGGCAGAATGGGATGAAATACCTTTTCGTTTCCATCAATGATTTCTAAACGATCTGAGAATCACTAACCAGTTTCTGGTTAGTTAGCGTTACAAAATTAGCTGAAAAATATTGAGCAGCAGAGAGGTACAATGACTTTGTGCCTTCAGCCATTTTCATAAACACCAGTCCCACATTCTAGTTTCTTCTCATCACTTTTACAAAACCAACAACAAAAAAGAAGGCAAATATCTCCACGAGCCTGTTAGCTAATCCTAGGTTAGCATCCTCTCAGATGGCCCATTTGGATCCACACTATTAAACACAGGTCAACAAGCCGTATTAAGTACCTTAGTTTTACACAAGTCATCTTCCAGCAGATTAATGGGATAGTTTAGTGGGTCGGTGTTGGATTGCCCAGTCCATTGAGTGTAAGCCAGAACCATGTGGTCCTGTCCATGTTCTGGCAAGGCCACTGCCATAAAGCTTGGTCCACTATCATGACCCCTGCTGCTTTTTCTCTGCCCCAGCTTTTGCTTCCATGCCTCCCGTTTTACTAACGGGAATGCTAACGCCACCCTGTGAGTTCTTGCAGCGGCAGCCAGGCCTGCTAACATTGTCATAACACTTCTGTCCCAGTTTGGACAGGCCCATAGCTGGTAGATAGCAGATTAGGCAAGGCAGGACAACAGACATGGCGGCCATGAAAGACCAGCGTGCACAACAATTGGCTTGTGAACACGAGCAGGGCTTGTCAGCGCAGGAGCCCTCGTCGTCCTCATCCTCGGTGCAGTGGTAGAAGATTCCTTTGACCAGGCACATGCAGGTGGCCGTGTCCACCAAGCTTTGCGCAGAGCACAGGCACTCCTGGTTGCAGACCCAGCATGAGGGTAAGGTTCGGGGGAGTGTACACTCAGTGCATCGACACTTCCCACAGTGCTGGCATAAAAGAAGGTGTTTCTTTTCAGTTGGTGAGGACGGGATCAGTGCCAACCCTTGCTGGCCTCCTGTGGTGCCCATGCCTCCAACGGGAACCTTGGCAGACTTGAGGTCTAAAGATTTTGAGGAAGAGGAGCAGGAAGAAGCAGAAGAAGAATTGAGGACTTTAGATTCAGAGGAAGTGAGAGAGCCAGGAGTTCGGGTGGTGATTGTATTGATCGGGCCCTGGTGATGATGGTGGTCCACCATTGGTGTGGGTGCAGCGTGGTCCAACAATCTCTGATCTGATGAGGTACTGCTGCTGCTGCTGATGGAGCTGGGTCTTCCACTGAAGGAAATCCAAGGGTGGGTTGTTGTGTCCTGGTGAGGGTGAGGTTCACACCTGCCCTGCTGCTGGAGCTGGTGTTGGTGATTGTGGTGATGATTTTGATTAGCACCTAGAAAAGCCTCCTGATTTGGACCAAGCCAGGTGATTCTTCGATTTGCAGACTTCTGGCTTAGGGGCTGCTGAGCAACAACAGCTGGGCTGTCGATGTAATCATTCTCCACGTGTGACGACTTGATCTGGTCAATGGGGTAAATGGTGACAGGGTGTTGAAGACGACCGTAGGGCACTCGACTGTCCAGCAGAGGCTGGGATATGATGGAGGAGGACACTCCGGGGATGTGATGGGGAACCCTGGACTCCATGTATCGGCTGGTGCCTCACACGTCGTCACTCTAAAGCAGCATTTAGCAAGACTGCAAACAAAAAAGAAAAAGACTATTAAGGATGACTGCACCAGCTGTTATCTTATTTAGATTTTTTTGCTCAATTTATTTCGACACCAGAAGACCAATCTTAAAGCATGGAATGAATGATCACTCAAATCATTTCTGCAGCTTGTTCATTTCCGCTTCATGTCTTCTTAGAGTTTTGCATAATGTCAAATTTGTAAAAAGTCATGCAAAACCTTCGTATTGTTTCATTTTTCAAACCCTTAAACACAACAGATTTTGTTGAATGGTCAGATCTGAAGCTGAATTTATGCTATTTTATATGAAAATTGTGATTTTTAGATGGCGTATTGAGTCTGAACCGCCTTCATTGTATCTTTGACACCAGAAGAAAATAAGCCGGACTCCATCACCTCCCTTCCAGAGAGCACAGCAGAGCAGGGATTGCATGCAAAACACTCAAGCATGCAAAACGAGGCAGAGGGAAGTAATTAGAACATGAAAGGAGAAAAAAAAATGATGGCAACAAAAGGGAAATTGGGTCATACACAATGCTCAATATAATTTGGAGACATTAATAGAATTCCCTGTTCCTTCTTTTTTATTTTTACAGCCCAAATAAAGAAAAACACAAATCAGCGTCTGAGTTTGTGAATGGGTCTGATTCTCTGAACTGCGTGTGTTTTTGAATGGGAGCTGCTGGCTCCACTCATGAATCAGTGCGCTCCAGTTATGCTCAATGAAGTCGGTGAGCTGCAGGTAGACATCACGGGAAGGCAAATGGAGCAACCCACATTTCCACTAACCTATTTCCCAACGATGAAAAAAAAAATAACTGTGAGTTCCTGACGTGAAAACACGCACTTTTCACTCTGATACTTAGCGCATAACTTTTTATTTCTTTAATTAAAAAAACATGTCGTTTCCGAGGCGTTTTGTGCCCGCAGCAGCAGCAGCTCTTGTTATTCTCTCTGAAAACGGAGCCTGGTTGAGAAACCTGTTGCGACATTGCTGGCACAGACACAAGCGCTCGTGATCGTCAAAATCTAGACCATTACGAGCTCGGAGCCGGAACTATGCGTGCGCAAGTGCGTGCGTGCGTCTGTGCGTGCCCTCCCTGGAATATGTGAATGAACTGAGTCATAAAAACCGGAGGCGTCCGCTCGGTAACATCAGCAGGTATTCAGCAAAACACTTACATTTTGTAAAAGTGTGAGCTTGTTAGGTAAGCTGGAACACTGCGTGCCGAAAGACTTTGCGTTTTTTCTTTAATTATTCTTTGGTGCGCTTTTTTGGCGTAAATTTGGAGCTCACTATCTACTGCAATTAAATACAAATAAGAAAGTGAATATACGTTTTATGAAATTATATAAAATATAAGAAACGCCTGTCATGAGTGCTAAACCTGGCTGCAGAGCGAGAACGCAACGGAACCGCGTTGGACTTTTTTTTTTTTTTTACATCTTAATAATTATGACATGATCTTACTAAGACGTCACAATCGCAATGTGCGTATCTGCTGCTCCAAAAAAGGCAGCGTGCTGACCAACACGACATCCCTCCTTCTCCGTGTGGCTGCATCTCGCGTTTGGACCGAAGTCGGAGGGGAAATGTTTGCGTTAAAATACAAATAAGCAAATGAAGGCTCGCGGAGCAAAGCGCTAAATTCGAGTTTGCGATATTAAAAGGAAGAAGGGGAGGAAATGTAATAAATAAATAAATAAATAAATAAATCAGCTCGTGCTCACGACTTCGAAACATGCAACACACGGAGAGCGGAGATCACTTACTGTGGTTTCAGGATGCAATTCTCATCTCCACGTTCCGCACGTTTGTTTTTTGTTTGTTTGTTTGTTTTTTGCGCGCACGTCCGATCCGAGGGTAGCTCCAAAATGTGTATGAAGACAAGTCCAGACGAGGTGAAATGAAGCTCAGCGACAGGCGAGCGAATCTCCAGCGCTGTTCTCTCCTCGCTGGTGCATGAAAGGCGACTGCGGTTGAGGACGCGGAGCTGTGGATATGGTGTTGCAACCACCGAGGGGGAGGGAAGTGAGTTTTTATGAATGGGAGGGTGAAGCAAAGGAAGGGGGACGGCTCTGCGCAGATGCCTCGACTTTTTTTCTCCTCTTTTTTCTGAATGGGAGGGAAGAGCGACTCAGGCGGGCTGAAATGCGGAGGTTACATTTTTATGAATGAGGAGGACACCGAATGCCATTGCGCATGCGCGAGGTGGAGATTTTTATGAATGGGAAGAAACAGCGAATGAGGCATGGGTGTGTGTGCTTGTGTGAGGAGGTGGGGGCTCCTTCTTTTTGGTCACAAGGCCAATGTCAGAGCTAATCTCCATAAAGACTCATAGGTTCTGATGCGGCGTAAATTTTGACATCAATCCGTGACGTCACGTTGTTCTGGTCCTGCGTGAGTGGGTCAAACCAGACTTTTTGGATCATAAACAGGATGTTGATTCGTGCGATTTTCTAGTAGCTCAGAGAACAAAAGATAAATCATTTTAAGACACGGGCTCAGTTCAGCAAATAGAGGACGTTTGAAGGTCATTGTTCAATTTAATCCGCGTATTATGGTGGCGGATGTCAACATGCCAGAGGCCACATGGCTGGACGGGATTAGGCTCCATTATAGGCGCTCCCCTCGTCTTCCTGTTTCTATCTAAAGCCGTTTATTGCCAGAAAGGACGTGCCCTTCCTTCCTCCGCAACAGTGTGAGGTATGACTATACAGCTTACATGGTAGTGTAAAAAAACTCTCTCTCTCTCTCTCTCTCTCTGTGTGTGTGTGTGTGTGTGTGTGTGTGTGTGTGTGTGTGTGTGTGTGTGTGTGTGTGTGTGTGTGTGTGTGTGTGTGTGTGTGTGTGGAGAAAGGAAGGGGTTATAACGCCCACTCTGAAACGCAAACCAGCATGAGGGCAGGATTCACAAAAGGACAGGATGTTGTTGATTTGTACCGAAACCACACAGAGGAAATGAGTATGAATTTCCTTTCCCTTGCTGTGTGTGTGCGCGCGCGTGCACGTGTGCGTTCTCCCGCCTCCTCCGCCCCTCACCCAGCTTGGGGCTTTTAACCAGTCAAAGGTTAACAGTTGCCCCATTTTCGTTTGCACGCATCACCATGGCAACCACTACACCTCCAAATTGGGATTATTGTTTTGAAACAAAGCCAGAGGGGAAACCTAAAACAGGAATGATGACTCTCTTGTTAATGTGAGTTTGTGTTTGACAGATTACAAAAGAAGGTGATGAAAACACAAAAACGATGTTAAATGATGTTAACAGAGAAAACACATCGAGTTAAAGGGGCAAAACTACAATAAATCTGAAAATCACAAAAAGGACAAACATTTTCCCTGAAAAGAACAACACAGAAATCCCTTACAGCGTTCAGCATAAATGAGTACACCCCACATTTGTCAGAAACCCTTTAGTTTCCTTTTAGAATCAACATTTTCTGTGAGATAACAAACTACAAAATACTCTCACAATTGTGGGCCATTGATTGCAAACAAGATTTATTAATTTGCAAACACAAAAAAGTGATTTTCCTAACAAAGCCATTCAAGCCCATTTAGCCAATTATAGTCTTATGAGGAAAGCCTAACCACAGGTGAGTCTAATGATTCATTTAAGAGGTGTCCAATAGACAGGTGACTATAAAAGGGCATTACTTAACAAGTCAGTGATGGCTCCACATGGAAGAGAAATGTCACAAAATATGAGAAAGGAAATAATTCCTTTACAAGAAAAAGGCGAGGGCTACAAGAAGATCAGCAAAGCTATAAAAATCTGTCAGAAAACTGTAGCAAAAGTGATCCAAACATTGAAGAAAGATGGAAGTACAGCCATCTTAAAGAGATGATAAGGCCATGCATGGAAGTTAACATCTCTACAGGAGCATCTTCTGATGAGAATGGTTGAAGAAAATCACCATCCAAGTTCACGGCAGTTAGCAGAAGCAGTAGAAAGCCAAGCTGGAGTGATACCACACAGTGCACATTGCAGAGGAATGGCATGCATGAGTATCGTCCATGAAGGAAGCCTCTCCTAAAGCCCATGTACATAATTTTCATCATGTACATGTACATCATCCCTTTCTCATGCTGAAAGAGTTGAAGACTACTGGGACTATAGACTCTGGAGTGATGAGACAACGATCAGTTTTTGGAACGTCGTAAAGGTGAGGATTTCAAAGAGTAATGGTGCCTACAGTGAAGCATGGAGGTGGCAGTGTCCTTAAGTGGGGCTGCATGAGTGCTGCTGGTGTTGGGAAGCTGCATTTCATTAATGGTATCATGAACTCAACAACGTACTGCTCTATACTGAAGGAGAAGATGCTGCCATCACTCCGTGCACTTGGTCGTCGTGCACTTTTCCAACACGACGATGATCCAAAAGACACATCTAAAGCTACTTTTGCATTTCTGCAGAAGAACAGGGTGAAGCTGATTGAATGGCCAAGTATGTCTCCTGATCTGAACCCAGTCGAACACTTGCGGGGAATTCTGAAGCAGCAAATTGAGCATCACTCTCCATCCAGCATCCAGGCCCTCAAAGAGGTTCTTCTTGAAGAAGAAGATAGATGTTGCAATATGTCCTTGAAAATCACATTAGTCTAACAAAACACTAGATGTAGTCGTTTTAGTTGCGTGCTGTGTTCACTTATGCTTCAACCAATTTTAGAGAAATTGAAGATTTTGTGATCTAATAATACCTGGAACTAAAACACACTGACAAAATGTGCCTACAAAAGTGTCTAAAGCATGGTTTATGCTTGACGCGTCCGCGAGGTTCGCATGGCTCCGTGCGGCAAAATTGCGTAATTTTAACAACCACGCCCCTCCACCGCACCTCCGCACGGCCCAAACTTTCCGCACCGCGCACCTAGGAAAGTTTCTAACGACGCGGTCGGTCGAACACGGAAAAACATGGTGGACTGGCAAGAACTAGTTATGGCAGAGGTTCGTAAATACAGACATTTGTATGATTCAGCTCTCAAAGATCACATGTTGTTAATAATTCTTGGAGAGAAATAGCTCGCACTGTCGGAAAAGACGAGGACGCTGTAAAAAAATGCTGGAATGCCATGTTGTAAACAACAGTAATTTCTACTTCTACTATGGTGTAGTGTTGGATGCATGCTGTAGAGCTCCATGCTGCCCCCTACAGTTTGGGAGAATATTGGCTCACTGCAGAGACAAGCCGCATGAACCAGAAACGCTGCGAGTTGTGAAGCGCGTTCCATCCGCGAGCCGCATCACCAAGCGGAAAGTAAATGTGTCAAGCATAAACCAAGCTTAGGGCAAGCTGCTGTATTGCTATGGTTGTCCAGTGGTAAAGGCATCTGTCTGAGTATGCTAACCACTGGACTATCTGCTCTGACATCAGTCGCCTAAGCCACATATCCTGTACTGGCCAGGGGAGACAGGTTTCAGACTTCTGGGAGAGGAGCAGGACCTGATGACAAAAATAGTTTCCATTGAGGCTTTACAGGATTTTCAAAGTAAAACCCAAAATTTGCAGCTGAAACAGGAAAATGCATGAATGAAGCCAAAAATGGGTTTAGGGAAATAACAATAAAAGCAAAATAAAGTAAAAGAAAAACTCCCAAACGTTGATTTTTCTTGATATGGCACTTTAAATGAAACAAGTAAAGCATTGTAAGTTGGAGCTTAACTGAAGAAAATGCTTTTTTATTCATTCTGCTGCACAAACATAGAACCCTAATTTTGGATTAAAAAGAGCTAAATACTGATTAGTTTTATGTTATTTCTTTATTTTTCATCTGGGCTGAGTGCCGAAAAATTTTATTTTTAAGAATTGCTGAATATCTTATTTTTATGACCAATTTTTTAAAAACCATTGCAAAAGCCTTTGCTCTGTTACACTGTGCACCCGAATAGACAGAAAACTCTAATAATTCACACTCCCTCGTTGTTGCAACACAACCTGCTGAGCTTGAGTCTGAAAGCACATTTGCAGTAAAATCAGAACACCTAAAACAAGCTTTCCAATATCATTTAGGAAAGAGCCGCATCCTCGCTGACCCTTTCTCAGATTCCCATCTCCCTCTTCCTTCCCGTCTCCTACGCAGATGTGCAGAGATGCACAAAGACACATTCTGTGGATTCTTTCAAACATCTCTCCCTGCAGCTGCGTGGCTTGCAGGCAGGGCCCAAACATGAAGTGCTTGTTGAATTGTGGATTTCTCTACGGTGTGATCATCTGGGCGTACGTGCACAGAAGGGAAGGAAGGCCGTGCTCTTCTCTCCAGAGTCCTCCCTCTCAGATTTTCGCCCATGCAGCCACATCTGCCACATCTACTGCTGTGTGAGTCTGGAATTATAATGGACAGTACCATCTGGTTCTGGAAAGGTTTCCTCCACGTCACGAAGTAAACTTAACAAAGTTGTTGTTCTTGTCAATGCAAAAGGCATGTGTTAAATTTTTTTTAATATAAAAAATGAATGCACCTCCAAATTTGGCTATTTTAAAGCATTTAATCCCTTCACTGTGCACTTCACTGGTATGTTTTCAGGATAAAACAACTTAAAAACTGACATGATTGGGTCCAGGCTGTTTGTGTATTCATGTTTGTGCTTGTTTTTTCTGTGGCAGCACTCACATGCAAATGACAAGAAACAGCTCCCCAGTCACACCAAAAGCTTCCTGCTGCAGGTAAGCTGTCATTTCCTCACCCTCGGCACTTCACAATACACATTTCAATCCAATTCGCAGCTGTATAGGACTCTCGTCGAGACACGGCAGGATTTTTCTAATGGCTTCAAAGTGCATTTCACACCAGGTCATTGTGTCCGTCTGGCACAAAAAAAAACGTTGATAAAAAGTGGTGATAACACAAAAATATGTTATAGAAGGAGAAAAGTAAAACCTAACTAGACATTTTTCTTATGGGCTGAGAAGAATTTTCCATGTAGGAAGAAACATAATCGGCAATAATCTACAAACGTTCCACCAAAAGTATAAAAGAAGCTATAAAAAGGCTACAAAATATAATAGAAAAGTAGAAAAAAAACTTTG